CAAGTGATCCGCCCATCTCAGCCTCCAAAAGTGCTGGGATTATAGGTGTGAGCCACCGCGCCAGGCTGATGTTGCAGTCTTGAGTCTGAAGGGAGTCTGGAGACAGAGTTCCTTCTTTAGGGACTTCAGTCTTTTTCTCTTAAGGCCTTCAACTGATGATATATGAAGCCTAGCCTACATACATTACAAAGGATAATCTGCTTCACTCAGTCTACTGATATAAATGTTAAACCTCAATCTAAAAAAAATACCTGCACAGTGACATCTAGCCTGGTGCTTGACCAAGCATCTGGGTACTGTGGCCTTGCCAAACTGATACATACAATTAGCCATTACACCATCCTTTCAGAAGAGGTGATGCCCACACCGAGGGAAAAAACCTCTAGACTCCACGGCCATTTAACCTTCTGTTGGAGACCATGATCGAGGCAAGGAATTCAGATGAGGCTACTCTTCTCTTCACAGGTGAATTCCAAGCCTCTCACAGCTTCCAAGGCATTTCTTATTCTGGTTCCTGCTCACCTCTCTAGCCTAATCTCCTCGCTGTTCCCTCCATTCCAGCCACATGTGGTTTTTGATTTAAAGACATTGTGTTCCTCTCTTGCTCTGCCTGAGTATGCGCTACTTCCATGGCCTGGGATGTGCCGTTTTCCCACTTTTTATCTGGGTCCAGGTTAGGCCAGTAAGTTCCTATGGCCAATCTGCACACCTCCTGCCTTATACTCAAGCCACGCCATCAGGGCTCCCTCCCAGCCTGGCAGCTCCATGAAGGACGCACCTCTCTTGTTGACCACAGCATTCATGCTGCCAAGCTGGTCTATGAAGACACAACAAATAACTACTAAATAAATGAGGATGCAGACCTTCAATCCTCCCGATGTCCTCGAGATTCGGCTCCATGTCTCCAGCCACTTGATGGACACCTAAAGGTGGGAATCTCACCAGCACCTACGCTGAATATGCCAGAGTGGACAGAGACTGTCTTCACTCTCACGTCCGCTGTCTTCCAAGCCTAGTACAGTAGAAAGAACACAGGCTTGCGGGTCAGGGAGGCCTGTACCGAAGCCCTGTTCTAGATCCTGTTAACCGTACAATTTTAGACCAGTTGCTAACTTTCTCTGAGCCTTAGTTTTCTCGTCTCTGATATAAGGATGAAAATATGAACCCACAAGATTAGAAGATTAAATGAGATAATAGCTATGTAATGCCTGGCAGATGGCATAGAAATAATGAATGGCACCTGAGTTCAAAGCTCTGGGGCATTTTGCTTCCCATCAGCCAACCCCTATTATCTAGGCAGTTCCTAAATCCCATCTCATAAATTCATTTTCTCCATCTAGTGGCCTGCCCTCACCCAGACCCTCCCCACCTCCTTCCTGGACCACTACAGCAGCTCTAAAAGGCTTCCCAGCTCTGGCTATTTCACAGTCCAGAGGCACCCACATGCTGATCCCCGACAAGGCCTCTCTTCAGGATGGGGACTCTTGCCAGTCAAATTCTTCCATTGCTCCCCAGTAACTCCAGCCTGGGCGACAGAGCGAGACTCCGTCTCAAAAAAAAAAAAAAAAAAAAAAAAAGGTTTAAATCATTTAGTTACATGCCATTCAAGGCTCTCTGGGTTCTGGCCTCCAAGGACCTTTGCTACCTGATCTTCTCCTTAGTCATTTACACACACCATTGCCCAGCAACTACAAATCGATTCCTGCCCACTCTGTACCTGGCATTGCCCTTCCCTACCTATGCGTTTGCTCATGTTTCCTTCAACGAGGATACTCCAAGTCCTCAAGTTCAACATTACCTTTCTTTCAATGTCTGGCTCAAAGGCTCTTTATCCATGAAGCATTTCTGGAGCATCCCAGCCACAGATAAACACACAACCTTTTCTATGAACTTGTGGTGTGTTTATCTCTCTACCTTTTATACATTTCTCTTTCTCTCTGCATTTATTCTTTGTTTTTCTTTTTGCTAAGGCATCTTGTTATAGCATCTCTGCATGTATTCTAGTTTTATCGGTGCACAGAACCTTGTGAACCTTAGCTTCAAGCTCTTTGAGGGTAGCATTGTATGCCAGCCTCCACTGTCACACTTAGGAGAAGCACCCAGTAGATGGTGGCTCTGTATCTACCTACAGAGTGCCATTGAGGAGCACAGGGCTTCATGTCTGTAGCCCATCAGCTGAGCCTTGGCATCAGTTCCTAGAACAGTGCCTGGCATAGAGCAACACCCATCAATCATTGTTAAATGAAATTATCCATAAGGGAGTCATCTAGTGTCTACAGGATAGAAATTTTTTCCCTGTAGAATATAACATGAAAGGGGATGTGTAGAAGCCTTCTCTCTCCCCATACTTCCAGATGCAAGAAAGCTCCAAGTTAACTGTCTCCCACAAGCTATACAGCTACTCTCGGCAATAAACACGACATATAATGCTTCAGTGCATTCAATGTGTCAAAAATATTCCATTTTAAAATGTCAGAAAGAATCATTTTTCAAAAACAGTCTACTTGGGAGAAGAGAGTTATTCAAACAATACCCAAAACCTTTTTGGACCTCACATTTTGAAGAGGTCCAACTTCCGTTGGTTAAAAAAAAAAAGTCTATTATATAATGAAAGCCTTACAACTGACTGAGAATTATAGAATTTCAGAAATAAATCCCAGTCTGTTCATCCTTAAAATAGGAAGCTATTTTTCAGGGCTTTCATGTCCAAAATTCTATTATGTAAGCCACTTCATAAATCATGTACACAACAATTCTCATTTTCCATTAAGTCTCTATTTTGAAATTTAATTAATTCACTCATCCATTTTTTTCAGAGATGGGATCTTGTTCTGTCACTCAGGCTACAGTGCAGTGGTGTGATCATAGCTCACTGCAGCCTTCAACTCCAGGGCTCAAGTGATCCTCCTGCCTCAGCCTCCCAAGTAGCTAGGACTATAGACGCATGCCACCATGTGTGGCTTATTTTTTTATTTTTATTTTTGTAGAGATGGGGATCTCTCTATGTTGCCCAGGCTGATCTTGAACTCTTGGCCTCAAGTGACCCTCCCACCTCAGCCTCCTAAAGTGCTGAGATCACAGGTATGAGCCACTGTGCCCTGTCTTTTTATTTTGACCCCCTCTGGGCTCTAACAACACACGTGCACCTCTGTTATAGGACATCAGTCTACAGTGCTGCCTCTTTTTACAGTCGTTTATCTCACTAACCTGTGTCCTTCTGAAATGCCAGACCCACGTTCACTTTTGAATCTACAGTACCTTCTAATGAAATGTAGTAGCTGGCTCCGCACATGTTTATAACATGAAACAATGACTTCAATCAGTGGTTTGATCACCTACCATATTCACGAGACCTAACTACTGGCTTCAGGACAGAGATTTCCCACCACTGTGGACAGTCAAAATAAGAAAGTTCTTAAGTGCTTCATTTAATGTGTTTATTTAGTCCCCTTGAAATAAATACTGATGGGTAAAACCAAATTAATTTAAATCACATGCTAAAAAGGATAGCCAGTCAAGTTCCTAGCTGAGTATCTAAAATTAGCCCCCACACACACACCAAAAACAAAAACATGGAAAAAGCCAAAAAGCCCTGCCTGTTCGGCCCTGTGTACCCTTCGCTGACTAGGAAGTGACCCACTTTTCAGGTACCATCCAGTCATACATTCAGTGTCTTCAGAAGCCCACACATGTTCATCTCAAGGCACAACAACATAAACACGTCTGTGTTTCCAAGAAAGCTTGTTGCAAGTTGGTGACAAATTTGAAAAAAAAAAAAAAGGCTCTAAATAAAATTACAGACATGACTTTCACATTTGAGCTCTCCAAATATATTGTTACAGGTTTAAGAAATACCACACTTCTGTGTCACAAAGAGAGTTCTAAAAACCAGTATGTTTTGAGAAGTCCATACCTGCTACTTGGGAACTAAACAAGGTTTGTAACAGCTGAATCTCTTTAGAAGACTGTTAACACCTTGCTTAGGTATAGAAAAATTGAAAATCAACGTAACTGAAGATTTGAGAATTTTTCAGTTCTAATACAGTTCTTATGAAAGATGGAAAATATTTCATATTCTCTTATATATTTATAAAAGCAGCAGATATTTCTTCTATTTAGAGAGGTGGAAACTGAGGCAAGAAAATGCAGTCATTTTGTTGAGGCACTATTCTACATTTCCAAAGCAATTAAGACATGACCCCAAACTAACTAAATTCTCCTGCAACGTATTCTTACGAGAAAAAGGTTAAAAGGCTTATTGCTTAACAAAAGCTAAACAGTGTGAATTATTTCAGTAACTGGTCCAAAAAGCTGCAGCACACCACTGAGTAGCTTGGACATCTGTTGCCATGCTTGTTCACACTTTCCCCTGAGATGACATAGATGTATCATCATTAACAGGTGTCCCTGATTTTGGTTCAGAATACTACTCCTGCACGTCCCTACATCTCCTGTACACAGCCACGTGCTGCCATCTTCTGATGATGCCCAGTGGAGTGTAAACATTTTTTCATGGAAAAGCAAAATCAATAAAAGTAAAACTCCCCACTTTTCCTGCCAGTAGTGCCCTTGGTAACAAACAGGGCAGAGACACCAACACAGAGATTACAATACTCTCAGACATAATTCAAGCAGAACTTTAAATGGATCAGTGCATGTTATAAACTTTCTTTTTTTGCAAGTGCCAAGCATGCTTATGTTACTATTCATTCTGAGACAGACAGATCATCAATGACCTTCTGGGTCACTGACTAGGGAGAAAGCTGACTATAAAAAAGAGAGGGAGAAAAATAAAGGGGGGGTTGCTTCCTTCTACCCTAGACCCCCTACTGCCTTGAATGAAAGAAGACAGATGGCAGCCACCTTTCCCTTTAATTAGGAGGGGCAGCTTAGAAGGGACAGTCCTGCTCACTTGGCACTATCTTTAACAAGACTGTTTCGATGGTAATACCCTGCTCATTCACCCTTCTTTCAAACTGTTCTGAATTTTTCATTTACAAACTGAATTTCTGTAAATTTAATGGTGAAACAATTACAGCTCTAACCACAACGCTATACATAAAGGAGACACTTAAAGATGTTTGCTGAATTAATAATTCACAGATATTCCTATAAAGAGGCTGGAATGTTTCAAATGAAATACAACTACCTCCAGTCCTATCAGCACCACTTTGAGATAAAATATGAATTCCCAGGACACAGAAGCTCTACCTTAAATTCACAATATTCCATTCTAGACATAGAAGTAAGACTCCTAGTTTCTGCTTTCCAGTTCCACACTCCAGTCGTGCTCCCATCTTTTACCTCCAAGGTATTGCTGTTCAAGTTGACAAAACAAACAAACAAAAAAATAAAAAAAAAAAACTACAGTAAAAATCAGTCCTAAATGTAGAAGGGAAGATCATTTAATAACAAATCACAAACCACTCTTCATCTCTATTTACTCTGCATTTTCAAAAACCATAGAACTTTGTATTACAAGTTAATCAATCCACATCACATCCCTGGAGAGAGGATCAGCATAAGATACAAACAAAATGGGAAACAGGAGCCACGTGTCAGAATTAGGCTAGTGTCACAGGATCTTCTATGGCGGTGACGAAGCCGCTTCATTCTTTTCTAGAGGCAATTAAGCACATTGTCCATAAATCTACATGGCACAAAACTTTCTAACATGAAAGAAAAGTTTAGTTGCTGTTGACGGGGTTAGGTCTCTATACATTGTATCTCATCTTTATACTAAATTTGTTTTGATCAACATCATTAAATAATTGATATTCTTGCAGCTCTTTTCCATTTCCTGATGCGTTTTTAAACTGCAGCCTCTTGTCTATGACAGCTTCCCACCTAGTTTCTGCACAATTCCTGCACAAGGACCCTCTGCCTTAACACCAGTCCAGAGTGGGGAAACCCACTCTGCCTGCTTCCAAATGGAAATCAGGGCGGCGAACTGGGGCTGCTTTGCTGGAGGTACTCCTGGTCACACCATGCAAAACGCCTTGTCTGTGTCACAGTCATTTACCTAATGGCAAAGTTCTTGGACCATTTAGAAACAAAACAAAACACCTTTTGTTTTCTCCTTGATAATAAATTTCAATCTCTTCCTATCTCTGAACAGCAAGCCGGCACACTAGATATGGGAAGAGGGAAAAGATAAAAGAAGCAATCAGTTATTGAATAAACTATATCCTACTTCCTAATGAAGGGGGAAAAACTTGGCATTTGCCAGATATTGGGTGTCTAATAATGTTAGCAAGAAAAAACACGCAGGAGAGACTGACTAACAAAGAAACAAGCAGAACTTACTTTGTTCCCCAGCCCAGTAAGCAGGACGGGAATGAGATGACGGCAATTCCTTCCTCAAGGTCCTTGCTTTCACTTTAAAAGCTGTGTGAGTGCTTACATCCAGGTTTGCCGTGGAACTCCAAATGTCTGCGCTTCTAAAGATGCCCCAAGTTCCCAGTTCATCTCGGACACTGAAGACACACTTGTGAGGATCGGGAAGCCCCGCGGTAGCCCCAGTCGACCTCTGGGTGCCACGTGGCACCTCCACTGTTGTGACTACACACACAAGCCTGGGACGCCCACTTGTTAGCTCAGGAACCAGGCGGCCAGCAGATATCTGCTCAGATGAACGTCCAGAGACTCAATCCTCTGGCATTCTCAGGTTCAAGGTTGGAAAACGCATTAAGACGAGAGCCACACAGTCAGCAGAATCTGCGCCATTAGCTTTCTCATACTTAAACGTCTGTCTAAATAAGAGTCAAAGGCACAAAATGAGAAGGAATATCTTACTAGGGACTGTGACTTGCACTTGCCGTGTTTTGAAAGTACTGGGTCCTGTCTTGCTCTCTAAAACTGCACTTAAGAATCCCTACATCAGAAGTTATTTTCATTTCTTCTGTGAAAAACAGAAAATCAATAAAAGACTGGAAAAACATATGAAACATAATTCTGCTTAAAAACATAACCATTATTTAATCTCAACGGGCCAATTTTTTTAATCCAAAGAAGGAAAAAAAAAAATACATGTATAAATTTAAAGTTTGTTTTGAAAAATTACTTCATCCATGTACTGTCCAGCTCATAAAAACAAACCTTCTTCCAGCGAAACGGGACACTTTGACCTTGTTTACTGCAGTGTTTTGAAACCGCTGTCTCGTAACTCCTGACATCACCAGTGGTGCATTAGCACCTGGACTGCTGCTGGCTGCACACGCTGCTACCCCAACTCTCTTGAATCACCCGTGGCTGAACAAATACTCACAGAACAGTAAGGATAGTGGCATTAGCATTAAACCCACAAAACTCAAGAGACGTTTTAGAAGTGTCACATCTCTCGGTTCACTTATACAAGGAAACAAAAAGCACAAAGCACTGTATATCTGATACTTTTTAAGTCCCAGCATCCAGACCTAGCACAGACAATTCTTTCTTCTGACCCTCTCCCTGCCCAAGAAACGGGATTCCTTTCTCACCAACCGCCATATTGGCAAGAATTTCTGCCACAGAGTTTTACTATTAATAATAGAAGCTCCAACCTACTTTCCACCAATAAAAAGTTCCCACAAATCTTCCTAGGGGAGAATTTATTTAAGTATATTTTAGAGTTTCAAAGAGCACTGCATTCTTAAGTTTCACAAAGTCAAATTTATTTCTTTTATGGAACATGCTTTTGGTGTTGTGCCTGCCTCTTGCGTTTTTAAAGAAACAATTTTCTTTTGTAAGCCTGACACATTTCCCCTTCTGCATTCCCCAGTTCTTTTTCTAAATACACCAAAATCAAAGCAAAGGATAGCTGCAACCAGTGGAAGCAAGCCACAATTGAATTTGTGCAAATATCTCCCCAGATTCACTTCTTAAATAAAACTAAATCCCGGTGCCACAATGATAGTGCAGTTTTACAGAGAAATTAAAAACCCAAGTTTAATGTGTTTGAAATCCATTGATAACCTTTACTGAAACCACTTACGAAACATCACGTCTTTAAACTACAGTCACCAAAAAATATAGAACACAAAATACATATTTGAGCAGTTATAGCCCTTGTTTGTCGAACAGGAGTAAAAAGAAAAACATCCAGAGTTAATACAATTAATTAACTCTAGCTAAAGAACTACTAAAAAGACCCTCCAAATGCCATGCTGTTTCTATGACAACTTCAAAATTGCTCTGAGAAAATGTGCTGGATTGTCAGATTCGTGATAAAACAAGTGTCATCCTGCCTGCTAGAAATTACTTTCATTTTTTTTCAGGCAGCAGAAAGGCTAAATGGCCACTTGCAATTCTGAAATATCAGATTGTTACCTTTTGACAGATGCTGTACTCTTCATTCAGATCATGAGAAGAGTTAATAAATACATGAATCTCTCTCAATCATCGGAACCCTTTTGGTTTCATTCCTGCAACGATACCACTCCCACCGTCTATCTAGTTGGTACATTATTTTTTATAAGGAAAGCAGCAAAGTCTGATTCAATCTGAAAGGGAAGGGCCAAGAAAAACCCCTAACAGTCTCTCATTTCCAAATACAAATAGGTGAGCAGACACTCACTCTGATATTTAAGGGTTAATAATGACACAGGAAAAGAAAACGGCATTTTCCCCCTTAAAATTCCTGCTCTTAGGTATTCAGGCTGATTTACATTTTACGTAATCTGATGGCTCAATCAGGAAGTGAGAATTTTAAGTGCGTGAGTTATGGATGGGAGGAATCATGTGACCCATAGCAAAGAAAATTATGCAGCAGATGAGCATGCTAAGAAAAATAAACTAAGCAGTTTAAAAATAGTGTTTTGGGGATATATCGACCCAGGAATATCCTACGGCTTTTGAGAACTAATAATTCATTTGAACGCCTCAAAAAATAAATCCCCAGGACTGTTTTAAAAAATATTACAAGACCCAAGTAATGCACGGTGAGACAATAAAGTTTAATTATCCAAGAAACTGTTTCCCTTAAGTTCATATCCATTCAAGGTTTATGTTAAAACATGGTTATGTTATTTTTCATCATTATTTAAAGATCAGGCAATATGTAATATAATCAAACAAAACACAGATTGCAGCAGTGATGTTTACTTAAGCTTTATTTGTATATATAGTGCATGGGTTCCTGGAGCACAAAAAAGAAAGTTGCTCAGATTTATCCAGACCTCACATAAGTTTATAGATTTCAAGTAGTCACTGTATTTTATTACAGCAAATACATTCTTCAAGAGGAAAATATTAAGGCCATAGAAGCTTTCACCTTAGCTATCTAAGCTTGTACTAGGTCATCATTAAATAGTATCTGTATCATTCTTATGTGTTCTGTAAGTTATGCCACAAATACCAGACCAAGTACACTCAGTCTAGAAACAAAAAAGTGGGAGACAAAGGTTGAAACATTCTAATAGGTGTCATGGGCTGATAGATGACTTTATATTACAAAGCTACTTAAGACAATTCTACTTTTCTAGAATACAATACATTAATATAAACATTTGAAATTCAAAAGATTTGGCCTGTGGCTCCTTTTTTTCTCGATGCAATTCTTGTTAATATGTTAGTAAGTAATAATTTATTGATACCAATAATAGAAAATTAACATGGTGAGAGCAGGTATATCTCATGGCCTTTACTTTTATCAATGCTTAATACCAAAATACTATTCATATCTTTATTTTAGCCTATTAAAAAAATTTATGCCACAGCTCTGGGCAAGTGGCAGGGTGGGGCCAGTGACAGGAATCAGTTCTGGGTATTTCTTGATTCCTAGCTCATCTTCCTTAAATTCTTAAACACAAGAGGTAGCTGGCGGTAAGAAGAGACTGTTAGGAAAGACAGAAACCTTTCAGAAGGGAAGCTTAAGGTAGATTAAGAAAAGTTAGGGAAGCTGAGAAGCACACAGTCTTCCAGATGGAGTATTACATGACATCCGTCATCATCTTACTAAACTTGGTATCATATTTGTTGACTGAATTAAGGAAAGATGAACTAGTTACCAAGAAATACACTCAGCAGATTGATTCATGGCAAACCTAGCTCAGCCACTTACCTAGACTAGTTTATTTAGGATAAACCTCAGAGTATGTACTTCTCAACTCTTTTGTTTTATAAATGAATCTTGTGTCTGGGCTCAGCTGTCAGTCAACTATCTGCATAATACAGCAAAGTCTCTTGACTTCTCTAATTTCCTGAAATATCAAATTGTTACCTTTTGAGAGATGTTGTACTCTTTATTCAGATCACAAAAAGAGTAATCAGTAAATGAATCTCTGAGTAATCAGGACCAGTTTTATTTCATTCCTGCAACTATACCACTAATCAGAAAATTAAAGAAGTTAAGAGACTTTGCTATGTCACAGAGATAGGTGAGTGAACTGAAAGCAGACCCAAGATTTTGGACTTTCCTAGGCTAGGACTCTTTTTCACCATGTGCTGCCTTACAACTGTCACCTGAGGTTTGAGTAACTCTCCAACTAGCCAAGCCCTGGCTATTTATCCCAGTCATGGAAAAGTCAAACAGGACCCAGAGACCCTCGCTCTGTGACACCTTCTTCTTAACTCACAGGCCCACTGACCCTCACCGCTGTTGTGGGCTGCTCCCGCCAGCCTGTGCTGAGCCTCCTACCTCATCTGCGAGGAGACAGGGCAAGTTCCAGGCTGAGGGGAACGGCTTCTGAGATGGTTCCAGTCCCTCTTCCTGGCTCGTTCCTTCCACTGGTACGCACGGCTTCCTCATTTCTCCTAATGGGAAAATCAAGGCACTGAAATAAGAAAAATCACTTGTTTTGGTTCATGTCACAGCTATACTGGATTCTGAATAAACACAAGAACCAGATAATATTCTAGAAAAAGTAAAATTAACTCCTACTTGATAAGATTCACCAAAATTAATTCTGTGGCAATTAAAGAGTTAAATATAAAAGAAAAAAAGGAAGAAAACTAAATTAGTGGAAAATTATTTCTGAATTTGGAATGCAAAAAGAAGATTTAGCTTTATAGAAGCAATGAAAAAAGTAACAAAAGGCAAGGTAATCCAACTGCAACAAAATGTAAAACCCCTATATGTCAAAAAACAGCAAACAGAATTGAAAGGTGAGCAAAAAATAGGCCAGATGTGTTGGCTCACACCTGTAATCCCACCACTCTGGGAGGTTGAGGCAGGAGGATTGCTCAAGGCTCGGAGACCAGCCTGGGGCAACATAGTGAGACCCTGTTCCTACAAAAAACTTAAAAACTAGCAAGGCATGGTGGCACGTATGTGTGGTCCTAGCAGAGGCTAGGGCTGGAGGATCACTTGAGCCCAGGAGTTCCAGGCTGCAGTGAGCTATGGTTGCACCACTGCATTCCAGCCCGGGTGACAGAGGGAGGCATTGTCTCTCAATAAAAAGGTAAGCAAAAAATAAAATAGCTGTAACAGGATAATATTCTTTATAGTATTTGAATGTAAAAGGTAAAATGTAATAACAGACAATTAACACAAAAATATGAAAGGCCAATTAATATGAAAAAAAAATGCTCAACTTCATGAGCAAACACCGAAATTCATTTCACCAGTCACAAAGATGGACAACAACAACAAAAAAGAAAGCTCATGAAGTGAGGTGAGACAACCATTTCAGGAAATCAGCAATATATGTATTTTTTCAGCCTTAAAACTGTTTCAACTCCTAAGATGTTTATACATATCTCCTAAGGAAATAATCACAGATACATAGGAAGATAATTATACAAGGACATACTTAGCAAAAGCATAAAATTGGGAACAACTTGAACATCCAAAGGTGGAATGGAGCATGTGACTAACCAGATCACAGTAAAAATTCATATGCTTAAATCATGATTTCTGGAGAATGCTTCATGATATTGGAAATAACAAAAGATAATGTTGAGTGCAAATGCTGAATATAAAATCATATGTAAACATGATACTAATGTTGCCAGGTAAGATAGAAAGTGAGAAGAAGGGAGGGACAAGGTGGTCTCAAGACTGGATTAGGATACATTAAAAAAGCTTAAAAAGGGCAGACAAAGACATTAGATTTTTTATTACTTCTTTATAATCTTGAGATGGTTGGCATTTTCTGTAAGTAATATTTTTATAACTGGAAAAATTCTATTTATGCTAATTACCACCCTCTAAATATTTCTCAGCTATATAAAATCATGAAAATATTTGCAAATACTTTTTAACAAGAAATTTCTTTTTTTTTTGAGATGGGGTCCTCCTTCAGGGGGAGTGCAATGGTACAATCATAGCTCACTGTAACCTCAAACTCCTGGGCTCAAACTATCCTCCCACCTCAATCTCCCAGCTACTCAGGTATGAACTACCACACCCGGCCAGAAATTCTTATATTTATTATTAAATGCAAAGAAGAAAGGGCAAAACAATATGATCTTTACTATGTAAAAATTTACATGAAAGAGACTGGAAGCCTATGCATCAGAATGTTAATAGCTGCTGCTTTCAGGTAGTGCCATTGTGTGTAATATTTTTCTACACCTTACAAGTTTTCTACGATTGTCATGTATTGTTTTCATAATAAGAAACAGATAACAGTATCACAATTAGAGGACTGATACATCAAGAAGCTGCTATTATCAACAGTTAAATTTCAAAATACAGAGTATCAATAGCTACAAAAATCTGCCATATGACCAAGAGATTTTCTTTTTTAATTTAGGAACCACTGGTATACCTTCAGAAAATCGCAGGAATTGGTGTGTGTGTAGGAGGTGGTAATGAATCATATTTTTTCAGCTGTCAAACTGTTTTCTCCAGGCTGCAGTTCTGTGAGGGTCCAAGAGAAGTATGAGAACCTCGATAGTAGGGACATTGCCAGAAAAATGGCCCAAAGGTCGATGGGGGGAGGAACACGAAATGATCAAAAGAGTAAGGCAAGAGTCCATGAAAACAGAAGCGTCAATAGAGAAGGATCAATAACTCATTTGATCCAAAGGAACTGAACGCAAGAACTAAAACAGGTATTTGTACACCCACGTCCCTAACAGCATTATTCACAACAGCCAAAACGTGGGAGCAACCTGTGTCTGTCAACCCGTGTCCATCACATGGATATATAAAATGTGGTATCTCTACACGGTGGAATATTATTTGGCCTTAAAAAGCAAAGAAACCATGTCAATGCTACAATGTTGTTGTAATCCTACAACATTAGATAAACCTTGAGGACACTGTGCTTAAGTGAAATAAGCCAGTCACTAAAGGACAAACACTGTAGGGTTTCACTTATCTGAGGTACCTAGAATAGCCAAATTCAAAGAAATGGAAAGTACGATGGTGGCTGCGGTGGGGCTGGGGGGAGGAGAGAATGGGGAGTTGTTGTTTAATGAGGACAGAGTTTGTTTTGCAAGATGAAAAGATTTCAGAGATGGATGATGGTGATGGGTGCACAACAATGTGAATGTATTTAATGCCAATGACCTGTGTACTTAAACACGGTTAAGATGGTAATTTTTCTGTTATATATTTTACCACAATTAAAATATATACAGATATATTTTAGGTATCTGTATTTACATATAGATATAGTCTTATCTGTATATATGTGCGTATATACATATTTCATCTATAAATATATGAAAGAAAGAAAGAAATCACCAGAATTAGAAGTCCTGAATAAGTTTCCGATCTGGCATGCGAGAAAGGTTTAAGGATTATTTCTGAGACTAAATTCTTTAAATATAATTATAGAAGTCAGCTCAGAAGTGAAAATCCAGATCAAAAGTGAAAATAAGAAGGGATACTGTGTTTAATTTGAACATAATATACCGAACTTCTTTGTGGTTTTTTTTGAGACCCTCTCATAATAGCCAGCTCGGAAAAATTCCCCACAACTAGGAAAGAACCTACAAATCCAAGCAACATGATGACATTTTCTCATCAACTAACAGGAAAAAAACATAAGCATAAGGGAAACTCTGAGTGTCCTTAAAATGTACTCGATACCCATTTCATGCTATTACCACAGATGTAAAGAATTCTAGAGCTGGGCAGAAGCTCAGAGATAGAACTGTTCCAGGATTTAGATATCTAGAGAGGTTTCCCCAAGTTCACTGAGAAATGCCAGATTTAAAGACAGGCCCCTGGGGAAGAGTTCTATTTTGTTTGTTGTGTTTTATTTAATTAATTAATTTATTTTGAGATAGAGTTTCTCTCTTGTTGAACAGGCTGGAGTACAATGGTGCGATCTCGGCTCACTGCAACCTCTGCCTCCTCCATTCAAGCAATTCTCCTGCCTCAGCCTCCCACGTAGCTGGGATTACAGGCACCCGCCACCACGCCCAGCTAATTTTTGTATTTTTAGTAGAGACAGGATTTCACCATGTTGGCCAGGCTGGTCTCGAACTCCTGACTTCAGGTGATCCACCCACCTCGGCCTCCCAAAGTGCTGGGATTACAGGCATGAGCCACCACGCTTGGCCATGTTTTATTTTTTTTAAAGAGGTGGCTATTTAAAGGTAAGAAAGCAAAGCGTAATTGGAATGCTCTTTCTACAAGTTATTTGATTCATTAATTTTGTTCAAAAAATACTTGAGTACATCTTATATAACTCTGCCAGGCACTGGGCTAGGTGCTGGATGATGAACAATATTTCATCATCCTTCCTGTAGCAAACTGGCAATTACAATGTAAAGGAGGCACACAGTGCTATTAGTACACATAAGAGGGAGCTCTAATCTGGTCTAGCTAGATTGGTTGAGGACAGCAACCTGGAAGTAGTGGTATTTTTAATAATAGTAATCACTGTTATCACAGCAAGCTTTACTGACCATCATTACAGGTCAGCTAGGGCTTTAAGCACTTTCTGTGCATGAATTAATTTAATCTTCCCTACAATCCTGTAAAGTAGACTCTTACTGATGAGGAAATGGAGGCACGGAGAGGTCACACAGCTCTTAAGTAGTGAAGACAGACCAGATTGCATGCTTTTTCAAAATCTGCTTTTAGGGAAACCCAAAGACAAGACAGGAATGAAACTTAAGGATCAGAACGTTCAGGAAAGAATTGAGATCCTCTGAATAAGTAAACAGGGAGAAATAGGGTAGGGTTACTACAGATGGGAGAGGCTGAGGAAGGATGGAAGGGATACAAAGCCCATGACCAAGAGCTCTGGGGCAGGAGTGGCTGATTTACATTTGGGATTTTCATAAAGTTCTGCAGAGTGCAAAATAACTCTCTTCTCCAGCTCCCCATAAACTTGTTAGTGCCGTGATGACCTGGTTATGCACAGGCTAGAACATGTGGCTCTGCAGAGGCCCCCATCCATCTGGGTACAGGACATTTAACAAATGGGTAAGAATTAAAGCAGGGAAGGAGAAGGATGAGGATGCTTTTAGAAGCATCGCCCAGAAAGAAGTCAGAGAATGGATCAGGGGAAATCTAGCAGGGAGAGAGTTGCTAATCCATTAATACAGGTAAAAGGTAATGGTGACCAAGAAGAAGGACATGACAGATAGATAAAGTAGATGGGTTTGACGGTTGTTGATAAGTAGAATTTTGACCAGAGTTGCCTTCTTACTGGATTCTGAAGGTAAGGAGAAAGGATCAATAGGTCACAGGTTTTAAGCTTAGGTATTTGGATCAATTTGGAACCTCTTGGATATGAGGTGCCAACAAGATATCCAAGTGCAGATGCCCAGTGGGCACTGGAATATCAGTAGGGAGCTTAGAGATGGATAGAAAGAATCTGAAAAGGGCAATGAGAAGGAAAAGCAAG